GAATAAACACAGAAAAATTGCCCCGCATCTTCTCTCTTTTTACTCTGTTTTTGTTGTGTGAAACAGGGCCTGAACCAACACCCTTGCCATCTATTATTTCGTCCTATTTAATTAAAGCACCCGCGTGCATTATTGACGTGCTTGAAAAAATCAGTGGAAGACTCTTGTGGAGAGGCAATGAAAGGAAATCGAAAATAAGTTAGGTGTCATGAGCTAAGGTTTGTTGCTCCCAAAGAAGATAGAAGAAGGAGGTCTTGAAATCGAAACCGTAGGGACCTTAACATCCCCGACTCGTAAAATGATGGTGGTATATGAAGACGGAACACAACTCCCTTTTTGATGTCAAGTTAAAGAATTTACAATCTAAATGCAAAAACAAAAGAAACCATGTGGAAAAAACTATCACACGGACCTAGAACAATATTGCAAAGGTTGAAGGTGACCTTGGAAACCTTTACATCAACATTCAACCCACACAATTTTTTTTTTCTCCCACATGTTATTGGTATGTGCTATAACACATTGGTCTAGAAAGACGAATGACTAGGAGCATACAAGCTGAAACTTCGATTTCCCAAACTAAATTAAATCGAGAATGCAAATCATGTTCAGCTGCTAATCAGATCAATACTATAGACATGTTGTGGTCATGGAAAAAACCCCTGCATCTAAGATGAAATATGCGAGCAAGCCTAACTCTGTCATTAGATTGCACACACCAATTTGATATTATAGAGTTTATACATTATGGAAAATCATACGTGTATTAATGCTAAATTAACCTTAGCATCCACCAATTTGATTCGTTGGATTAAATTAAAGTGCACACACGTTAAGATCAAACTAGAATTTAAAAACGTCGAAAACTTAGAAGTTTTTTATACAGATAATTTTTCTTCAAAAAATACCATAAAGATTTATTTTTTTATTTTTTTTTAAATACTCGAAATAACCATTTCGAAAGTTATTGTCATAATACTCAAAGTTAGAGTTATTTTCCAAAATTTTGTGTCATTTGTTTGAATATCTAAAAAGATTGTATTGCCAAGTGACAAGCTTTAGATTCAAGCTCAATCCCCCATGCATGCACATTCCTTCCTTTCTGTAGTTCTTCTAACTTCCAACACACAACGTACAACCTCTTCATGCACACCTCACCTTTTGTCCTCCCTATAAATACCACCCACACCCCACACTATCAATTATATTATTGCATATTTCCAAAAAACACTTCTATTTACAAAATGGAAGACGCCATGAGAAGACTCGCCGGATACACACCCTCATCAGAATCTGACCTCTTTCAAGCACCCTCCCCCTCCGTCCAAAAACGTTGCAGCAACACCACAACCACAAACTCCACCGCCAACAAGAGACTAGCACTCAAAGAAGCTAATGGAACCAACGGTTCCATGAGATACCGAGGTGTTCGCCGCCGCCCCTGGGGTCGTTACGCCGCCGAGATACGAGATCCGCAGTCGAAAGAACGTCGGTGGCTCGGGACGTTTGACACAGCGGAGGAAGCTGCATGTGCTTATGACTGCGCCGCCCGTGCCATGCGTGGCAGCAAGGCTCGAACCAACTTCGTGTACCCGTCTCCGCCTAGCGATAGTCTCCTTAATCCTTTCACTTTCAACAAGACCCAATCTCAGCCTTTATCCTCCTCACCTTACGAAAATTTTCCGATGCCGACGTTACAGCGGAACACTTCGTTTAACTCTCTTCTCTTCCACGATTTTTTCAACTCTGGTTCATCTTCATCGTTCTGCAACTCTGGCGCTGCTTTGTCGGGTTGTACATCGACAGGTTCTGCACACGCTTCAAAAACTTGTACTGCCATGCCGGTTCTGTCTAATCAAGACGAGTACAAGGAGTTCTTCCCTTCGGAGTCGGATCATTCCGGTTTACTAGATGAAGTGTTAACCGGGTTTTACCCGAAGCCGGAGAAACAAGCCAAACCTGATCTCAAAGCTTTGTCTGGACCGGAACCGGTTCATGATAGTAAGAAGACACTTGAATCGAACCCTTTTGGTTTCTTTTTTGAAAACCCTAACAGGATCTCTTCTGCATCTACAAACAGTCACCACAACCAGCTTGGATTTGAGCAGAGCTTCAACGGTGGTGGTGGTAGTTTTCCGTTCTACAGTCATCATATGGCGCCGGCGCCGGTGTCTTTTGATAATCAAGAAAGTATCTTTGCAGATGTTTTTCAGTATCCAGATATTGTCGGTTTGTTTGCTGGTAGACTTCAAAATGCTTGAAGAAACCTATGATGTTTCTTTATATAAGCTTTTGTTCTATTGGGTTCACTGATTATAAGAATTAATGAAATATAAGATAAGTAAGTAGTTTTCTTGTTGATTCTAATGTTAATCAAGAATATCTTCAGTCTAGAACGCTTTTCTTTACTGTTCTAATTGTCGATGTCGAACAATATTTTCAAAAAGAGCTTCCTCTAAAACATAATTCGATGCTAGATGATATTTTTGTGTTCATGTTGGAAGCTTCAAGTTTCATAATTCATCATCTTGGATTATTGTAGATCTATTGTTTGTTTGTAAATCTTATAAAGAAAATCAGTATATTCAAAAGATGGTCACGTTTATATGTTGTTGATTTCAGATTATCAAAAAAAATTGAATTTGCATGTATTTGAAGATTATACATAAGCCTTTTATATCTTCAGATTTAAAGATGATAGATTAATCATATATTCATATTTTATTACAAACCGAATGTTGTACACAATTTCTGTTTGCCAAAAATAATACATAAAATGGGGCTTCGGAGTGTTCCTAGATTCGGGGAAAAAGTTGATTGTTGAATCTCCTTTTCCTTGAGTTGACCTTTTAGTTGATGATATAAGAACGTGAGGAAGCTTTTTCGGATCAAGCTTTTTGGCCTTTTTACTTTGTACATCTTTTGTTCATTCAAAATATGGATCATATGTGATGATGGCCAAATCTTTTTGTTGTACATCTTTTGTTTATTTAAAGCTTCCAAACATGTGGATGGTGGAAGCTTGTAAGGGTACAATTGTCAATGTACTCGAATCATTCGTAACCCAAAATCCCTTTATAATTAATATTAATATTTTGTAATATTAAACAAGAGTAATTCACTAAAAAGATCTGATCTAGAGCTTTTATATATTTTATAAAATTCATTTTTGTTCAAATATCAAAAAAGACCATTTGCCTCTTTACATAAATATGTCTGATCTAAATTTTATTTATACTTTTTGTGCTACATTTTTCATAAACTTATCAACATTACGAGGGTTGTTTTCTTTTGGCAAAAAGAAGTTAAATAAATTAGATAAGATGCTTTCTCTTGATAGAAAAAGTGTGAGTTTGAACCCGTTAAATCTCGTTTTCATTATTAGACAATAATAAATAAAACTTTACATATAAACATAAGATATTAATAATCATTTAAGCTAGTATCCATTAGTTACTCTTCTAACCACTTAGGCCATGCGAAATACCAGCCCGCACACCACAATGAGGTGAGATGGCAATACCAAGGGCAAAACTAGTTGGTAGACATGGGTAGCCCGTTTTTTCCCTTAAAATCCTTGTAGAAATATTATTTTTTTATATTACAAAGGTGCTTCTGCTAGATTGTCTGATACTACTCCTTAGATGTTGCCGAGGAAGATGAAGAATTAGACGATTTGCTAACAGTGAAGATAAAGAGGAGCAGTGAAGAGGAAACATAAGTGGTAACTGGTAAGGGTGATTAGCATCCACATTCGGAAGTGGTTAGGGTTCAATTGGTTTAATTTCACACATCGACCATGAAACCCTAGGAATAACAACATTCAAGCCAGGGCAACAAATTCTTTATATATCAAATCCCTAATTTCCAACTTTTTAGTTTTATACCTTAACGATTTACCTTTGAATATTAATGTGGGTTTGAATATCCATTCATAGATTGATGACTCAGTCCTCATAGATTTCAATGTGGGTTTGAATATCGATTTTGCTATTTAGATTGATGACTCAATCCTCATGGACTTTTCTAGCCATCTTCCACTACTAGAAACAAGGGTTTTAGAGACGGAAGAATCCGTCGCTAAAGGCTGTTCGCGATGGATCAGCGACGGATTTACTCCATAGGTAATTATAACGTGGCTAATTTCTCAGTGAGGGTTTTAGCGACGGATCGGTTTTTCCTTGCGACAAATGTAGCGACAGAATATCCGTCGCTAAATGTCACTCAATACATTTACTCAGGGCATTAGCGACAAAATTTGTTAAAGTCATTCCGTCGCTGTTCTGTCGCAAATTTCAGTGATCAGCTTTTTTTCGTAGCTAATCCCTTGCAAAATTCATATACTAATTTTTTTTTCCGTCGCTGATCTGTCGCAAACTTTAGACATGATTTTTTTCCCATAGCTAATCCCTTGCAAGATTGATACATTAATTTTTTTTTTGTTCCGTCGCAAACTTTAGACATGATTTTTTTCCGTAGCTAATCCCTCGCAAAATTCATGCATTAAATTTTTTTTGTCGCCAATCCGTCGCGAACTTGTAATATCTTTTATTATGATTCTAAAAGAAAAAATACTACAATCATCAAATTATTATACTAAAAAACATCAAATAATGATACAACAAAACATTACAATACCAAAACTATCAAAGTTTACCAAAATATCATTCAAAAAACATCAAAAAACAAAACTGTCCACATAACATCAAACTCCCAACGGTTGAGAACATTTTAACACCAAGAAATCCAAAGTATGCAAAAGAGGTACAAACAGAAAAAAGTTTAACCTTCAAAATAAGCATCGGGAAATGAGTTTTCACAAAACATAACTTCAAAATAACATTTTAGCTGCTCTCTTCGTTTCATGTTCATCCAATCATCTTCGGTTCTCATTCCTATAAAACATTATTCAAAACAATCAAAAACATCAAATACAAAAGGTTAACAAGTCATTCAAAAACATCAAATACTAATGGTTAACATCATATTACCTCTAATTTTCAATTTCCCATCATATTTTGCAAGGCTGCATACATCTTCTCCATTGCTTCATATTTTGCATCAATTTGTTGTTGTTTGGCATCTATTGCTACAGCTTTGGAATCCATTTCCTCACGTATTTGTTGATGTTTAGCTTCCATTTCTGCAGCTTTAGCATCCATTTCCCCATGCATCTCGTTTCATACACGTTCATAGACAACCTAAAGTACAATGCCATGATATGAAACTTTGTAAGTACAATGCTATGATAAGAAACTTTGTAAGTACAATACCATGATAGGAAACTTTGTAAGTACAATGCCATGATAGGAAACTTTGTAAGTACAATGCCATGATATGAAATTTTTATAAAGTACAAAAGTAAACGAACATCTTGGGATGTTATTGTACTAGATGTTCCTTCCAAAAAGCTCGCTGGATCAGACACAGATCCGAATCCATATATTCTTCCTTTCTTGACTCCTCCGGAAACATCACACCATGTTTCATTATCCAAGAGGGGGTGGCAACTAGTATCATCACCAAACTTAGCCACCATAGCACTTTCATAAGCCTTCTATTATAGCAAAAAAAATGAAAAAACAGAAAGATGAAATAAGGAATGGAATGGTTCATTCCATTCCATTAAAATCATAATCAAGGAATGGAATGAACCACTTCATAAGCCTCCTATTAATTAATACTCAAACCTTGCATAATTTTGATTACTACTTACAAAACACTTAATTACAACTAGGCAGATGATCAAACATTTAGAGATAATAATTTGTTTCTTTTCTTTTGTAAGTTGATTACTACTTACGAAAGATTTGCTTTCTGTCAATTTGTTGCTTTAACAAAGTCATTAACCCGAGTAGTAGGAAGTTTTGTTTCCTACAAAAGAATTGAAAATACCTGAACTTTAGCTGCCTTTGGTGTAATGTACTCTTGAGTAGACTGTTTAGTGTGCAACCTTGCATAAAGGTCAACTCCTATAGGAGGGCGTTTAAGTGTTGTCTGCTACAAAATCCATTAGTAATACATTAAAAAACAAAACAAAAAATCAATAGTCTAAGTGGAAACCAAGGTGAGATGCAAACATCTTACCATTCTTTTCTTATGTTGACGAATAGATATAGAACCCCCAGTATGTTTGGAAATAGAGCCATCTTCTAATTTATTTCCGTTATTTTTCCCTGATTGTGATAAACGTTTCCATTTGGATTATAACTATGCAATCATATTCCAAAAACTACAGGGACTAAAAATATAATTTTGGAAAATTAAAACTACAGGGACAAGAATTGTAATTCCTACAAACTAAAAGCTTCAGGGACCAAAAAGATAATTCTGGAAAACTAGAACTATAGGGACCAAAAGTGTCTTGCTTATTTCCCTCTTTCATAGTGACCAAAATTGTAATTCCGGAAATTTAAAACTTCAGGGACCAGAAATTTAACTTTTGCAAATTAAAAACTACAGGGACTAAAAATGTAATTTTGTAAAAATAAACTACAAGGACCAGAAATGTAATTCCCGCAAACTGAAAACTCAAGGACCAAAAATATAATTCTTGAAAACTAAAACTATAGGAACCAAAAGTGTCTTTTGCTTATTTCCCACTTTCATAGTGACCAAAAGTGCAATTCCTGAAATTTAAAGCTACAGGGACCAAAAATGTAATTCATGCAAACTAAAAACTACAGGGACTAAAAATATAATTCTGGAAAATTAAAACTACAAGGACCTAAAGTGTCATTAGCATATCTTTTGTTATCTATTGTAATACTATACAACAATGATGCATGCATTTCACGTGTTTCATATTTCGTACCTCATTCATTGGGCCCTTTTGTGTGAGTCTGAAGTTTATACAAAACAGATAGTTGCTCCTGAAGTAAAGAAGAAAAGTAGGCGAAAAAAAGGAGCCAAATTTAAAAAGTTGAAGAGGAGTAAAAAAAACAAAGATAAGGACCATTAAGTCAATATGTTCGGATTAAGTAAAAAAGAAACAACTAAATTTTTAGTTATCTTTTCTAGATTAAGTGATTAACCCGTTAAGTAGATCTATCACTGCTTCTTGAAAATGTTATATTTAAACTTTCATAGGGCCTTTCAACATAGATAAGGACCATGCTTTCTACACAAGTAAGAAGTTTTTATGTACTTATATTTAAACTTTTTTTTAAAATATAATTTTGGGTTTTAGGTTCAAGTTTAAAATTTGTGTTAAAACATCATCTACAGTGTCATCTTACTAGGCTCTTTTAAGTGGTTATATACTTATATTTACTCTTTTTTTTAATATAATTTTGGGTTTTAGGTTCAAGTTGGGAATTCTCCTGCTTATAAATTAGAAAGAAAACTTTGTAAAGGAGGATTTGGTCAAGTTTATGTAGGGAGAAGGGTTAAATTTTTAATATCTAATAATGATTGAAAAGTACAATGTTAAAATGCGTTGATTTTTAAAAGTAAAAATCCTTGATATGAAAGAAAATTTGAATTTTTGAATAACATATTGAAACTAAAAGTACAATGCTAAAAATGTGTTGATTTTTTAAATTAGAGCACTAAACTTGAAGATTTTTTTAAATTAAAATGCATTGAAAAAAATACATTTAAAATTTCAAAACTTTAAAATAATTAAAAAACTAAAAGTACAATGGCATAAATGATTAAATTTTGAAAATGTAGTAATGATTGAAAACTATAAATGTTTTGATTTGTGAAAGTGCAATAATTTTACCAAGATTAGATATGCTGTAATAAAAAATCGTAAGGGCAAAATGTAAATTTCATGGACCTAAGCATATAATTCCAAAACAAAATAACAAGCATAATGACCATCTTATCCCCCCTTAGGCCCTTATCAAATTTCTATTAAAATACAAAATTTAGGGCAAATTCGTCATTTTATCATATAATTCCAAAACAAAATGAAACCATAGGGAGAAAAAAAAACGCAGAGGGGCTTATGATCTTTCTCTTCAAGTAAGTTTCTTACACAAACTATGTGAATCTTTCTGAAATCATGTTACCAAAATAGAGCAAAGATCCATGCATTGGTGTCCAGGGGTAAAATGGTCAGAAAAGAGAAAAGCAAAACTTAGATTCTGCTTCATATATGTATGTCTATAACTAGTTCTTAACCGATATGAGTATTATTATATAAAAACTTATTTTTGCTCGTGTATTGGATGTAAAAAATTGTGAAAGTTTAATGATGTTTTAATTATTAAGATGATTAAGTTATATTGTGCTTCTTGTATGTACATACATAATTAAGCCTTAATTGAGATGCTCATTATGATATGACAGATAATTTGCTTCTTACATGTATTAATTTAAAAATACATGAAAGTATACTCAATATAACTTTCATTTGTCTCTCTACATATCTTCTCGGGTTCATAAACTTTCAAGTCTTTGAACAGTCTTACTTGGGACTAGGGCTGTTTATTATAACTCTTGATCTTTAACTTTGTCTTTTAGTTTTAGGTTCTAATTTCATGGAAATTAAGGACTGTGTGTTCCACACATGTAGGCCACCAATTGGAGACCACCCATTTAGATTTTAGAATCATTCAACGTCATAGAGACTATATAAACCCTCATGCAACTGTTCATATAGACATCAATACAATACTAAAATGTTTTAATATAGAACAAATGAAACTACAATGCTATAATAAACAGATTAATGAAATTAGTTTGCTATTTCTTACATTTAACCCTTTTGCATTTGACGAAATGAATTATCATTGAAGTTAAAATACACAACATCAAACAGTGTAGTAGATTATGGTGTTAATGACAATGCTCTCATCCACAACAATCACACAACTTAATCCTTGGTGATTTTAGCATTTACCTTTTCTAAAAGCTAACTTTGAAAGATATCATCAACAACTCTAATTCAACAACAATCAAATAATATTATGTTGCACCTACTTGTGCAGCTAGATCCATTTGTTCATTGTTGGTTTTGATATGGAGAGTGTTATAATATACACAAATATAAGCTTCACATTGTGGGCACAATCAACCAACAGAACAGATGCTCTTAAGGTAGCAGGAAGAAAAATCAGATAAAGACCAGAACCCGCTCCAATTTACATTTATATCATTCATAACTAAGAGGTAGAACTCATCGATCAGTAAAAATCAATAGCCTTTCCATGGAGAACACATGGATTTACACAATCAACCAACAGAACAGATGCTCTTAAGGTAGCAGGAAGAAAAATCAGATAAAGACCAGAACCCGCTCCAATTTACATTTATATCATTCATAACTAAGAGGTAGAACTCATCGATCAGTAAAAATCAATAGCCTTTCCATGGAGAACACATGGATTTACAGGTTTTACAAAAAATATAAACTTATAAGTCTCATAATCTAACAATAGATTAGATGAACATGAAGAATACTCGATATGAAGCCGGAACCTAGAAGGAGAACATCCAAACACCAAACACCACCAAACCATAAGAGGAATGACGATTGAAAAAGGAAAACAAATTGAGAAATTAAACCCTAACGTAATATATTGTGCAACTGAACCAAACCTAACCTAATATATGACTAAAGCAAATAAAATCAAGAGATTTACCTGAATCGGAAGTTAACGAAGAATAATTTTAGATTTTAAAAATGTGGAGGCTGTCGGAATCGGAAGCTTCAATGGTCCGTGGTGTCGTCATCTGTTTGAACAGAGAGGGTGAGATTAGGTTAAGCAAGCTGCAACTCGTGAGTGTCGTCAATTTCAGATTTGGGTGAGAGCGTGTTCAATTGGAGTGACAAATCAGATTTGGGACGGAAGGAAACTCACACAAACTTCGTGGAACTGGAATCGGAGCGTCAATTTCAGCGAGGGATCGTCAATTATAAAAACATAACGTGCGTATGCTCCGTCGGCATTCTCTCGCTAAACACGTACCAGATGGCCAAAAAGTCGACAATTTTTTTCCCTCGTTGAACCCTCGCCAAAACCGATAATCTGTTTAAACCGTCGCAGATCTCTCGTAATTCCCTCTCTATAAGCCTAAAATTTACTACAGATTTAATCCCTCTCTAAATCTGTAGTTGAAACTCAAGTTTCTAGTAGTGTTCTTTTTTCCTTTCCATCTTTCTTCTACTTGTGGGAATTTGATAAAAGGGCATTATTTTGTATCTTTGCCTAGGCCAATGAAAACCTTAGGACCGTCATGTGTATACATAGCCACAGTAAAAACCCATGCTTCTTACATGTTTTTTCCTGGAATTTTTTTTTGGTTTTACACCTAACAAATTTATTTTGTTTCATTGGGTATTGTGGTGGTGCGGTGAAGCAGTGCCCCCTCCTCCCTCCTCCCCCCAACAACCCATTCGCGTACATCATCTTCCTTCTTCTTGACTGGTGAAAACCCTTAAATTTTGATTTTTTTATGCACTATAAATAACAAACTTCTTCTATTTTAAACCACAAACACAAACACCCAAAATCTTATATTCTCTATATATCAAATTCAAAATGTCACATTATCTTCCACTTCGTCGGATGCATTTTTTGTGCGGTAATCGAAGTTTATTGGGAACGTTATGCATACAACACTCACTTGTCTACTAGAAAATGAAGCTGAAAGTTCACGTTCAAAAAATAGAATAAATCATTTACAAATAAATCGTTTAGCTAGGCACAATCATCTTGTACAAGACTACTTTGCCAATGATGTCGTCTATGTTGAAATTTTTTTACGTCGGTCCCAAATAGGAAAAGACATTTCTACGCATAGTTGATGATGTGAATGACTGCTTTCCATATTTTCAATTCAAATGGTATGTGAAAGGCATACAAGGTTTCTCTCCAACTGAAAAATACTGAATGAACATTTGCCATTCGGCATGGGAGCAGACTCATGAGATGAGTATTTGAGAATGTCAAAGCAAACGACATACGAATGTATTTACAAGTTTGCTAAAGTCGTGGTTGTCCTCTACCATGACCGATGTTGGCAAAAACCTATAATTAACAACATCTAACAATTGTATACAAGACATGAAAACAAGCACAAGTTCCTTAAAATGCTTGGTAGTTTGGATTTTATTCATTGGAGGTGGGTAATAGGCC